CTGACTTCAAACTACCATCACCCCACCATATGTCATATTCCACCACTTCCACACTACTCTCCTCACCTTTTTTCCAACTTTGTGTCTGTCTCTTTTACATCTTTGAAACTCTTCTCTCCCCCCCCCCAATCTTAACCTTTTTCACTTTCTTCACCTTTTTTCTACCTTTGTGTTTGTCTCTTACATCTTTTAAACACTCTTTTGTCCCCCCCCCCATCTCGACTTTTTTCTCTTTGATATTCCTTATTTTTTCTACCTTTGTGTCTGTCTCTTTTACATCTTTGAACTCTTTGTTCTACCTTTGTGTTTGTCTCTTACATCTTTGAAACGCTCTTCTATTCCCATCCCCTTCTCGACTTTTTTTCACTTTGTTTTTCTACCTTTGTGTTTGTCTCTTACATCTTTGAAACATTCACCTCACCTTTTTTCCAACTTTGTGTCTGTCTCTTTTACATCTTTGAAACTCTTCTCTCCCCCCTCTCGAATTTCTTCCACTTTGATGTTCCTTTCCCTCTGTGAAGCCCGAAGTCAACTAACGGGCTAATGATAACCACCAAAACGCCTGCCATTTGATATAAATAAATATTTTTCCCTACTCAGATGACTTTGTTATCAATGAAGAAAAATAAAGAATGCAGTAGAAACAGCCCCAATTTTTTAGCATTAACATCCACAAAAATATGAATCATTAAATAGATTAACTCACCAACTGCGTCTATCACTTCATCAACGAGTTGTAGCGCAACTAACTTCAGCTCATCTTCATAAAGCTCTAAATGAAAAAAATGAGCATCCTGTAGATTGGGAATAAAAATTAATGAAAAGCTAGTGAAAGCAAAATTAACTAAGAAAGGGAGACCACTGCGCTAACTCTCAATTTAATGCCCAAATATGTGCTAGCTACCAACTGAAACTTACTGTATTCTTTATTGTTATATTCATTCTCTTCTGTGGCCAGAGGTGTTGATGTAGTTGGAAGTTCTTCATCCAACTTCGAGACAGGTACTTTCGGCGGAATTTCAGCATAATCGTCAATATCAGGAATGTCCTGACACTCTGTGTCGTCTCCTGTTTCCATGCCAATTTCTTCATTCTCATAGACACTTGGACGTTTTTCTTCTAAACTAGCGGTTTCTCGAACATTTTCGAATTCGTTTGTTTTAGGCTCGTCTGTTTCGTCCGTTATGAAATTTGAAGAAGATGAAGAAGAAAGAGAAGAATTAGCATCCAGAAAGGCTTCCTGTTGCTCTTCTTCCGATTTCGAGTCTTCAAGTGTTGTTATTCCTTCTTTTTCTTTTGGTCCCAAACTCTGAAGTGAAAATTACTTAAGTGATTGCTTCATCCTACTACTTTTTATTATAAGTAGGTAGTCAGCAAATTAAACAAGGGCATGCTTATTTGAAATCAATTCAAGCTAAAACGCGATCGATATGTCGTGCAGGAATAAGGCACAAACGCTGACGAAGGAATAACCTATGTGTGCTGTAAAAATAAAAACACAACAGATGCGAAGTGCAGCACAGACCACAAAGAAGAATTAATCACGAAGGGGAGTGTGGAATTAAGCAATATGGAAATAACAGCCGAAGTGTGTGTGCAACAGTTGTTAGGAAGCAGTAGGACTTTGTTCAGCTTTGCACCAAACGCCATCGCTTTATAATGTTGAATGTGTGTATGACGTAATACAGCACTAAGAAGTTAAGATTAAAGGAATGAACGAGACTTAAAAACCAACACAAAAAGGCGATTAGAATGTGCGCAGGTAAGGATGGAAAGTCAGATCAAGATCAACTGACCAAACCGAAGCAAATCAATCCAAAATTCGTATTTAAAGCTTGGAGAGAAGTGACGCCGAACACACGGCCAGTTTACTTACACGTAGGGCACGAGAAGCGACCACTGATAGGTTTTGTAGACCATGAATGATTTCAATTAGTTGTTTCCGGCCACGTCTCTTACTTTCCTCATTTCCAAACTCCAACTCATCCTCTTGAAAGTCGAGTTCTTTCTCCTTACTTTCCCCAATGGAAGATTTTGTCAATTCTGCCCTGACAAAATCGCTGGAATTCGACCTACTTCTAGTCCTCGATCGTTTCCTTCTATCGGAGAGTCTAGCAACGATGGGAGATATGAATTGATTGTGTCCCTTCTCAATACTGGCATGAAGTTTAGATGTAGTGGACATGGTTAAAGGCTCCAATTTCTCCTTACTGCCCCATATATGGGCATGTGAAAGCTGACGAAGATGTCTTTTCACAAACTTCAACCAATTTCCGGTCATCACCAATTCAGCAATCATCAATTCTTCCCTTGACTGAGGAACAGTCTCATCAGAATTTAGAGAAATTTTCTAGAGAAAAATGGGGGGAATAGAGCAACTATATGTTCAGGGTAATATTTATTTGAAAGTTACCACTAAGTTAGAAGTTTGTAAAGTTTTAATTAGTTTTAAATGACAAATTTCGAGTTACTTTGTCCGCTATCTGTCTTTAATGGTTTAATATAAACGGAAGGAGAGTTGATTATACTAATTAAGTTAAAAGGACAAGTTTGAGAAAATTATGAAGTCCATTGTTGTTGTGGCGTTCAAGATGCTTTTAGCCATATTTTTATTAACCTGAATTTTGTGAAGAGCATCATATGATTCTGAGCCATTAAAAAGATGTCTTGTTTATATTTCAAGGAGTATCCTTTTTGTTAAAGTACAAATAACGTGTGTGTGCGTGTGTGTGTGTTGAGATGATATAGCAAATGAGGACTAAACAGAGCAAAGCAGTAGCTTTAAGTCATGCGGTAATTTTGAAGGATTAAACCCAACATGCATTCCTTCCTACAATTCCACTAGATATTTATCTACTGACTTTCTCATCTGTAATCTTTAATAGAATAAGTGATTATATAACCGTATCCACCGTTTTTAAAGAGGACACACAGCTTTGTACTTAGTAATGTAGACTAAAGCTTTACCAGATACCTGACAATAGAAAAATGACAACTGTATTAAAAGGATAACGCATTGGAATATTTTAACCAAAGCGTAAATTGATAGTCTTTGCTCAAAGTCAAGTCATTCCACAGTATCCTCTGTACTCTATGTACTCTGACCCATTCCCACTACCGAACCATTATGGCAGACGTATCCGGCCGTCTTTAGGCCATCAAACAGGTACCGAGTGCAATAAGCATCCCAATCAGAGTTAGAATGTTTTAATGTGATATTACGAATGTGGTTACACCCGATCAGCAATGGCTGAAAAGTTCCATAAACACGCAATAAGATGCTTATTAATTGGGGCTAATCTTTACTAATTTGAAACTTTGAGTCTATAGCTTGTTCAACACCTCAATATTAGTAAAAAATAATGAGAAAGTAACAATAATACAAATGAAAAAAGGAAACGACAAGACAATGAATACCAAACTTCACATACCTCCAATATTTCATTGACATCTATATTTTTGGCAGTGGATATTGATCGTACCAGCTCCTGTAGACCATGTTGCATTTCACTGATTTTCCCTGAAAGGCAGTAAAAGAATAAAGGGTAAATCAGTTCTGAATAACTCAAATTCGACAATGCCCAGATGAAAATTGAGCTTTTGAACAACGGGGCCACTACAGTGACTCTCTGTGGAGAGAATGCGAATTAGGTCAAATTATCGATTCTATGGCTCCTGTTTTCTCCTTTGTTTCCACAACCTCCAATTCAGATTTCACGTCCTAATCTTATTCTCATTATTAGAATTCTCGAAGATTTTTACTCGTATTAATTTGAATAAGACAACTTCAAAAAGTAGGTAAGTTATGTCTAAAGTAGATAATAGGAAAACGGTACGGAAGTTCATGCAAATGTGGCGGAAGTCTATAACTGCCACAATTGGGCTACTTTTGTGCTCCTAATGACGTCTGTAATGCACACTGGTGTCTAGTAGACATTAACATTTTATGCCTCGCCGGCCCTCAAACTTGGGCAAATTGGCATGGTTTAGGATTTTTCATGCAAATGCTTCAGTCTGCCTGATATTTCAAGTCACGGGACATTTGGTAAACAAGTTAAACTATATTCCATGTGGGTATATGAAATGTCTACATGTCTTTATAATTAATGATAAATAGATAGATAACCACTCCTAGCTCTTCGGCTTCTAATATGTGTCAGATTGATTCCCCTTGTTAGCCAATACGATTTCTTGATTTTGAAATATGTAAATGTCGGATAATAGCGTAACTGAACTGGGGTCAGTGATACTCTGAATAAATATTGCTGAATCCGAGGCATTGAGACGTTTCTGGAAGAACTCTAGCCAAAACTAGTGCGGGTTAATTTAAGTCTGCATTACGGGGTGAAATTATCCTCATATACTCATTCACATGCTCCTTTATTAATTTTTTAATGTTTTTTTTTAAATTTAAAGTCAAAGGATGCAAGAAAGAAAAGAAACACTCCATTCAACACGTATACCCCAGCTTACTTTAATTAACGTTAGCAAGGATGACAAATCTTGAACACGATATGCGAAATTTAACATCATTTATTATATTAATACTTTTATGTTTTGAACAAGGGGTGTGCGATAGACTTACCTCCACGTGGTGCACCCTGGGCAACGTATACTCATACGGCAAAAAAGTCTATAAACCGGCAGTTGACTTCTCACTTCAAACTATCATCACCCCACTGTATGCCATATTCCAACACTTTCACAGTACTCACCTTTACTTTTTCTCTACCTTCGTGTCTGTCTATCTCTTTTGTATCTGTGAATCGCTCTTCTGTTCCCCACACCTCGACTTTCTGCTACTTTGATGAACCTTCCCTCTGTGAAGCCCGAAGTCAGCTAAATGGCTAATGATAGTTATCAAAACACCTGCCATTTGAAATAAATAAATAAATAAATGTTTTGAACAATAAGTGAGTTCCTTTGAGCTCATTGTTCATCTATCTATTCGAATTTCAATCAAAGAGCAGAAAAAACCTCGTTTTCGTGCAGCAAAACAAAGGGCTTGGTTGATTTTATTTGTTGAGAGATTTTCTATCATTTATAAAAAGCTTAAATGAATACCCAAACTGGACATTTAAAAGCCTCTCTCATTGTGTGAAAACACTGAAGTATCAAAACTAAATTGATTAATGATAGCAAGGCTAAAAATGAATTGAAGGATGAGAAAAGGAATAGATGCTCATGATTTAGAGCATGTTGATCCTCCCTCACCCTAACTCCTGCATTATTTTTCGTTTAAAACTATCAAATTGACCAAAAAAACAACTATCCACTTTTCCCGAGATATTACGTCGGAAAATCCTTCCATTAGAAACAGCTTTTACAGATGAGATGAGATTATAATCGATCAAAAGCTAACCAGTGAAATGAGTAATCTGTTCATCGATGGCCTCAGGAGATGATGTATCCAAGGAAAGTCCAGACTCCTGCATCTGAGGTGATTCATCGGGTGCAGAGATTGATTGCGCTATCTGTGTTGATGATCTGGCAGGCTTAGCCGACTCCATACTGATCTTGAGGTCATTGGACGAAGAATGCGTGCTAACTGGAGGTAGACTAGAGCGTGCCTTCTGGGTTGCTAGAATCCTCTGATTAGAGATCTCTTCGCGTTTTTTCAAAACGCACAACCACCTAAAGGATAATACTCGTTTAAAACAATTACACAAAAAAACAATAAAGTTGTGCGATGCAAATATGGAACTTACTTTTCTCGCGTATCCTTGGAGGAGAAAGACAGCCGTAGGAGTATAGCCTGTTCCTTGAATATCATATTCAGCATGTATTCGTGACCTAACGATATAGGAACAAGGAAATTAATTCGCTGATTTACTGTTGATCAGTTGTAAGTTGTCCGCTATTTTCGTATGAATAGTGTCACCTGTCTTTGGTAAATGCAACAAAACATCACAAATGATTGATGGTTGATACTAAATTCCCTAGAACTTGGCCCTAATTATATAATTCAGTTCATCAACCAGGATGTTGGCAAAAGGGCTATTTGGTTGCAATAATAGCAACATTAAAAGGAACGAGAAATCTTTCTTGGCAGACTGATTTCGTAAAGCTTTACCTCAACAGTTAAGGAATGAAACCTTGTCTATATCAACAAAACGAACTAAGCTGCCTTTCCGATTTCTAAGTTCGGCGATTGAGTGATCCTAAGATGGGGTATTTTCCTTCCCACAATTTTTGAACAGCAACTTACGACTACAATTATGAAGAATTATGAAGCACAAATTGTATAAGGTGACAGCATATTTGCACAGCTTTTAAAATCAGACAATTTGAATTAAAACTCGGTAAAATTTAAATCAGGGCACTGGTGAGTCCAATAATCGCAATTCTTTCGTTATGGAATGAGTTCGTAAATTCACAAGTTCCTAAATGATCAGCAAAGACGCTTTCCGAATATAATTCATCTAAACCTCAACCCTTTCGTCTACAAAGTTTAAAACTGTTAACTGTGATTTTATGTTAGAATCGACTCGAAACCCCTTACCAATTTGTTCACCCAAGGAAGCGAATACGGAGTCCGTTGAGAACACAGGCGATAACTTCATAGTATTTCCTAACAGATTTGAAGCCACAGCAGATTGAGCGGAACTCAAAGAAGAGGTAGAAGCAACCGTATTTTCCACTCCTGGCTCTTTTGTTGGCTTAAACGGTCGAAGGCAATACCTTCCACCATCTTTAACTAGTAGAATAAGTGCGGAATCCAGAAGAATAGCAAGAACTTCTGTTTTCTCCTTTACATAATCATAATTGATTTTGTTGTCGCTTGTGAAGGTTAATTTGTCTACTGCGATCTCGGAGTATTCAATTACCCAGTAGCGGAAGAGGGTTCTCGGGAACTGTAACATCAGATCCTATATTGAAAAAAATGCAATTATTTCAGTTAGTCAAGGCTATCGACAGTTATACTAAAAATCTGTTGATGTTCGCAAAATTCAAAGCATTTGCAGAATTGCGATCAATACTATGTATGATTTTCATCAAACGGCACTTCATTGCTCTGGGGTTAAATAAGTAAATATTTATTAAAAATATTATTCAAATTGCCATTTTATCCAGATGCATTATAAAATAATTCAAATCACTTTGATTGCTCCACTTCGGTACTTCGGAAAATAAAAATTAAATATTATGTGAAGTACTAAAAGCACAGATTTTTCATTTGAAGATGGTTATAAAGTTGAATCCTATAAAATTGTGAAATTTAACCAACGGTAATTTATGATTTGCAAACAGGGGTGTGCGATAGACTTACCTCCACGTGGTGCACCCTGGGCAACGTATTCAAATACGGCAAAAAGTCTATTAAACGGCAGTTGACTTCTGACTTCAAACTACCATGACCCCACTGTATGTCATATTCGATTACTTCCACAGTACTCATCTTACCCTTTTTCTACCTTTGTGTCTGTCTCTTTTCCATCTTTGAAACACTCTTGTGATCCCCCACCCCCTCTCGACTTTTTTCACTTTGATGTTCCTTCCCCTCTGTGAAGCCTGAAGCCAACTAAAGGGATAATGATAACCATCAAGACGCCAGCCATTTGATATAAGTAAAAATGATTTGCAAATGTAAAAACACATGTTAACGCGTTTAATTTGTATAATCGGCTGATATTAAGTACAAACTGACAAAGAAAGGCATGAAATAGATCAATTTTAATTCAATTAAATTTATGTGAAGATGTAATTAACTGCCATCCAATTAGAATCATGATGATGTGCACTTCAGTCATTAGCCACTACACTAAGTTCATTTATGTTTAAGAATTTACATTCTAGATTATAAATAAATCAGCAAGGATGGTTTTTCTGTTTGATCCCATGTAAATATTAGTACTATTTCGGGAAATACTAAAATAAGTATTGCAGTGTTAAATATTTTAATACAAGCTTTAGCTACTAAAACAGAAATTGTCACCCAGAAAAGCAACATATACGTCTATGGAACGTCTTGTGATCACTTTGATTGATCTTCTGGCTAATGTTGAAGAATTGTGACCGGAACCACGCAGTTTCAAGGTACTTCAACCAAGGAAACTTTGTATCAAGCATTTTCACAGAAGAGCCTCTTCCATAAACTTCAAATTTTTGGATAAAGGGCAAAATCTGGAAGGAAGTGAATAGCTCATTTTCGAATATGACCTAGCTTAAGACGAACAATTTATGGTTTTTTGACAACTCAGTAATGCTTTCTTTCTTATAAGAAGATGAAATGAGATGAGCGAATTAGAAAATAAGACGGATTAAAGGAACCAACCCTTAAATGCCCATTCCTAATTTGGCGCCAACTAAACACAAAGAACAAAATAAATATCCCTTCTCCCATTTTTTGATATTATACTTCGAAAACTTGTCATTTTCAAGGTTATCCTTTAGCAATCGGGAGGATTGCCAAACAAAAATTCCTCTTTTGATAACATGAAGTAGCATTCGGGGAACCGAAGTTATTAAAAAACTTGTTAGGCGAAATATCGCGCTTTCCATGAACTTCCTCGCTGTTATTAGTCCACATATTAGGAATGTGAAGCACACCTTCCTCTCAAATTGGTTTAAATTTACTCAATTATTTTTGGATGAAAATAGAATAATTAAATAAAGCAAAATTAAAATTGTGGGAAAGTCTCACAATATGTGGAAAGAGAGCAGTTTTGTGAAAAGTTAAACATTGTAAAGATTTAGTTATTGTTTGGCAACAAAAATAAAAATGAGTAAGCTAACGTAGATTCTAAATAGAATTTAAAGTTGTTAAAAGTGTTATACGAAATAAGATTCAGTGTCAAAATTCAGTCACTTTGGAATTTCCAAGCTGTAAAAATTGTGCTATATTGGAAAATGGAGTGTGCGATAGACTTACCGCCACGTGGTACACCCTGGGCAACGTATATTCGTACGGCAAAAGTCTATTAACCGGCAGTTGACTTCTGACTTCAAACTACCCTCACCCGATTGTATGTCATATTCGACTACTTCCACAGTACTCATCTCACCTTTTTCTACTTTTGTGTCTGTCTCTTTTATATCTTTGAAACTCTCTTCTGTTCCCTCTCTCCCTCTCGACTTGTTTCACTTTGATGTACCTCCTCCCCTATGTGGAGCCTGAAATCAACTAAAGGGCTAATGATAACTATCAAAACGCCAGCCATTTGATATAAATATTGGAAAATTTGTCCTTTCCAAAGAGAAGTTGCATTTATCTAAACTCTACTGCGCATAAATACTGGAAGATTTTTTCGAATCCTTAGTGCTTAATTCTGATAGTTAAGGTAAATTTATTGTTGGAATTGGAACCGCACTACCATAAATCAATAACTCTTGGAACTAACATAAATGAAGAATCCTCCAAAATTTCAATTATTCTCATTAATTCCCGATTTCCCATTTATAATTTAATAACATGAAACAACAAAAAACTGCCCCTAACACTGGCCCAAGATTAGAGGTTGCAGAGAGATAATCTTTTGGTCGAGAAAAGTTTTAAAAGAATTTAAATTTTACTCAATGCAAGACTCCAGTTGTCCAACCAAATTATGTTTGAGATTATATCCGAGAGCAATAAAATGGGAGATAACAGATGGAGATGTTTTTCATCTATTTTAAGCATTAAAATTAAGTTTGTAGGCTAATTTGACTATTCGAGAGCGAAATTGTTTTGGCCACTATTCCAAAATCACGACATTATTGGCTATTTCAACTTGTGTTTTTTTCTTAAAAAAAACCGGAATTTTCTTCAGTAGAATTTTAAAACAACACACCACTAATACCACCACGATTTAAAGAGCATAGTAGATAATGTTTTAGCTTCAATGAACAGTATTGCGTTTTAACCTTTATCAGGCGTTTTTGTTAAAATGCCAATTTGGAAATAACATTACAAGTTCTAAATCCGGAAATTATTCCGTAAAAAACACGCTTTGAGGGGCATTTCTTCTAAATTGCAAAATTAGAAATAAAATAAGAACGCTTGTAATAGCGTTATGATTAAAACAATTTCTCAAAAAATATGTTAATAACCTATCAAATTATGTAAGAAGATAGTACTTTTGATTAGCCACAGTAGTTACTTACCGCAAATGGAAAATTTCCAAATTGAGCTTGATGACGCGTCAGTTGTTCACCTTTATCGATTGTGGAGAAGAAATGGCCATCATTGATTAGTTTGACCAATGGCATACAAATCTTATCGATTGAATGAGGAATGCTCGCCAGTTTTGTATAGATATCCTTCCAAATTTTTGCCTCGGCTACAAAAAATCAAAAAATTAGAAATAGTGCTATCCGTAGTGTAGCAGCCAATGTCTACTCATCAACCATAAAATCCTATGACAAATTAAATTGATTAAGACAAATCATTGATAGATTCTCAGTTAAAACAGGATTTTATCGTTAATTCAATACAATTAGTGGAAAAACTTCAATAAGCCTTATAAATTATTGTATACACGGCGGAAATTTATAGAACACATGATTCACTTCCCCATAGACGAGGACGTTTTAATTAGTTGGT